CACCAAACTATCGGCCAGCTATCGATTAGATGATTGCTTGATGATATTTGGTTTATATTTTTGATTTCGACCAGTGAAAGATATGAGCAAGGCCTCACCTTAAAACCAAAAAAAAAAAAATTAAAAAAAATAAATTCTAATCTAACTATAAAAAAAACGCATCTCATATGAAAGTTTCAATCGTTTACAGCTTCAGCCGTATCATATGAATATGCCAGTTGTAGCTTTTGTTAACCTTTAAAATAACCACAATGACAAGATCTTTGAGCAATGCATCTCAAATAATTTGATAAGATTATTACCTTGTAAGGTTCTAAAATATTTGGCGTAAAGTTTATAAAAAAAAAGCATGACTGTAAATGCAACTAATTGAGATTATCAAAGCCGGATAATTCTTGTCTAAAACCAGGCACTAATTTATTCACTTTCCTAAACTTCACAATAGATTAAAAAAAACAATTCATCATCTTCAATCTTATGACCATAATAATCTGATTAGAACAATCAAGCGGGTATTAGCCGAGTAATATATACTTGTCGACAATTTGGAAACAATGCAAATAAACTATTTAGGGCATAGCGTGGATCTTCGAGACAGCAGTTTTATGGTAATTTTCTATTTTGGGTGATAATGCAATCTTGATTTTCCCGAAGTTTTTCCTTGGGAAAATTAACAATTAGGCTATTTGATATAAACGAAAAACCCAAATGTTTTATGATCTCATTAGATAAAAGCATCTTTGATGTATGAATTAATTTAACACATAACGATAATGACTAATTATTATACTTCTGTACACTTATGTGTACGTACGTATGTACGGAATTAAATACCGGTAGTGTTACAACTGAATGGGAGAGTAATGCACATATATGCGCAGTTTAGATCCAACTGTAACTTTGAGTTATGCGGGGTTAAAATTATACGAGTATTTAAAATGATTGAGATTTAATCAAAGGGAAGATCTAAATCGTTATCGAGGACAATGACGTTTTGCGACTAGGCGTTCCATGCACATGTGATTCCTTTATTTAGTGAAAGAATTGTGCAACAGATCCGGATCGACATTTTTGAATTAAGAAGGATAAGTTTAAAATTGGTTACATGTCACGTTACAATACTTGATACGCCATAAAACTTTGTCTAAATTCTGTAATTTAAAACATGATGCAATATTTACTGTATGACAGTAATATATATTATTCTCTTAATACATTTTTTTAAAACTAATGAACCGCTGAATGCGTCTATATTTTCCGTCCTAATTACTGCGCAACTTCCTATTTCGTCAATCACTTATATATGTTTGTAAGTGGGAATGGAATTAAGTGGATTCGGAATTTCCAAGTTAAATTAAGGTTAGGGTAAGGGTATATATATGATAAAATCAACCCCAAAATGCTGGGTTTATATAAAAATTCCGTTTCCACTTAATTCCGCTTCCACTTACAACATATATATACCATTTAATCAGTGAAATTTCGTAACATTAAAAAAGCATTAGTACGTATTAGTGATTTATCATGCAGATTCAACCACGAAAAACACCGACTTTCGAGATAGCTCGAAGGCCAAAAGAACCAGTAACACCGGATGAAATAGATGAAATTGTTGAAATAGAAACAAATTTCCGGAGAGTTAAAGCAAGTATTATATATATTTAAAATATATGATTATACCAAACTTATATATAAAACTTAACAAAAGTTTTTTTTTCACTGTTATAGTTCAGTTTTAAAAAATTATATAGTTATACTTTTGAGGTTTCAACTCAAGGAAGAAAAGCTAAAAAAAATGATATATATAAAGTTTTTCGTAATTTATATGAGAACAAAAAATTGGGTCCAAACATTTTTCCAGCATTTGATGAAAACATGATTTATTCCTCAGCCGAATTCGGTACTCAAAAGCGTTTAAATGTAAGTGTTCAATCTCTTCAATCTCTTTTTTTTTGAAGAAATTATCCACTGAATGCCTGAATGTCTTTTTTATAGGTCACTATAGAAGGAAAACAATTTATTGCTATCCTTAAATTTAGTACCGAGATTGATTTTACTTTATTGAAAAATTATATTGAACAAGATAATTATCAAATTCTGGATAGTAAACTTTTAAATCTCTTGCGAGTACTCAATATATATCTTAATTCTGATGTTCGTTCAAGAAACTTAACTCTTGGAAGGAGAACCTTTCCAATTCCCGATAAACCACAATATTTATTTGGTGGACTTGAACTTATGTTTGGATTTTATCAAAGTATTCGTATAGGGTGGAGTAAGTTCCATAAATCTTTATTAATTATATCTATAAATTGAGTAAAAAAAAAAAAAGATTTTTTTATAAATTATAAATTATCCACTAAAAAAAAAAAAAAAAAATTTATAGATCAATTACTTGTCAATCATGATATTTGTGTCACAACATATTATCCATCGGGAAAGTTGATTGATTTACTTCCTTTAATTCTCTCTCATGTAAACTTGCGTAAAGGACTTTATGATAGAGATATTCAAACTCTTAAAAGATTTTTAAAAAATTTAAAGTTTACTACTACTTATTCTGATTCTGAAAAAACAATTACTGATGTTACTTCCCAACCGGCTAGTAAACAAACTTTTATGAAAGATGAAGTGCAAACTACTGTTAAAAAATATTTTGAAGATTCAGAATTACCATTAGTATATCCAAACCTTCCGTGTATTGTAGTTAAAAAAGGATATCGCACTAGTTTCTTTCCTTTAGAAGTATGTGTGTTGGTTCGTGGTAAGATTTTCTGACAACATTTATTACATTTAATAATGTTTATATAAATGACTAAACCATTTAAAATTATTTTTAGGTCAAAAACATAAGACTGATGACCTCACTCAACTTCAACAAGAGGATATGATTAAAAAGACTGTGATTGGACCAAGGGAGAGATTTGATAGGATAAATAAAGGCATTCAAAAGGAGTACAAACATGGAAGTGATAAAAGGTTACAGTCTATTGAATTTCATGTGGATAACAGTGGATTCATGAAAGCGAAATGTAATACATTTAATATATTATTTATATTCTCATATAGTACTATAAGGTTTATTGTTTAAATTAACAATATTTATTTGATTTATTTTAGCAAAAAAGCTCATTTTACCAGACATGATTGTTAACAATAAACAAATAACTACAGAAAAAGGGGAATGGGAGATTATTAAATTTAATGAGGTAACTTTAAAATTTTATACATTGCTTAAAAATCATTAATTACATAGGTGTCTCAAAAATATTTTTGTTATTACAGAGTGCCGATTTATATAATTGGTCTGTAGTTTGCTTTGATTTAGAACTAAAAATTGACTTAATTGAGTCTGCAATCAGACTTTTGAAGGAAGTACTAATTTCAAAAGGCTTGGTAAGTTTTATTCATTTTACTATTGTTATTTTTTTTTTGATAACAATTTGAAACAAATTAATAAAAATAAATTAATTAAAACAAATTAATATAAATTAAAATATTTTATTTTTATCTTTTAGAATGTACCACACATGCCAAAAATCTCGATAAGTAATTGCCAAGATTATAAAAAAGTATGTACAGTAATACAGTATGTAATACATCATTATCTAACTGGCATATTAGTTTTTTAATATGATATACCTTTATGCTTTATAGGCCATTATGTTGGCTGTTCAAGATTCTTTAATGGAACCATCACAACCAGCTCAATTGATTATATGTATTATTCCAAAAAAGCAACAAGAAGAAGATTGTTTATACGCAAAAATAAAAAGAATTTGCTATTTGGAATTAGGCATTATGAACCAATGTATTCTTACTAAGGGTCTTAAAGATAATCGTAGATTAAGACAAGTTTTTAATAATATGGCATTAAAAATAAATGCTAAACTCAATGGTGAAAATTCTCGTTTGGCCGATGGTCAACTTAATTTCAAGTGTGAAAGAGCTGTAAGCATTATTTTATTATTCTATTGAATTCATTAAAAATCTATTTAAATTTATGTTAAATTTACTTCTATTATATGTTATTATTTTATGTTAGCATATGGTATTCGCTGCAGATGTTTATCATCCAAGTAGAGATGATAAGAAAAAAGGTCGACCTAGTGTACCTGCAATTTGTGGTTCAATGAATGACACTTTAACAGAATATTGTTGTCGTTATCGTATGAATGAGAAGTTAAGACATGATGTTGATATTATAGAGAATCTTAATGATATGGTTTTAGAATTATTTGAACAACGTAAAGCCAGAGGAGGTCTTCTTCCAGACCAAATAATTTTTTATCGAGATGGTGTTGGAGAAACACAGTTTGAAACTGTAATAGAGGATGAATTGGAACCTTTACTTGTTGCTCTTAAAGATTATTATAAATCTGAAAATCTGCCACCACCAAAGTTAACATTTGTGATTATACAAAAACGACATCATGCTAGGTAAATTACTTTTTCATAATATTTTTTATCCAAAGTTTCCTTTTTTTTTAATTATGCCGTTACCTTAATTCTACTTAGATTTAAACTCATTAATGGAGGAAATTGTAGTCACGGTACCATAGTTGATACTGAGATTGTTATGAGTCAAGAATTTAGTTTCTGTAAGTAAAGAAAAGCAGTTATTTCTTTTTCTACAAATTTTGAATTAGAATTTAGAGCCGGCTTTATTTTTCATATATGTATTATGGATTATTAAACATTATTATTAAACAACATTATTAAACATTATTATTAAACATTATTACTAATTAAATTCAATTATTCAATTCAATTCTTAGTTTTACAATCTCACGTTAGTCAGACTGGAACTGCTCGTTCTGGATTTTATCATGTGATTCTAAATCAAGGAAACTATTCTGCTGGCGAGATTTATAATTTGACTTTTAGACTATGCTTTTTATCTTCTAGGTATTTAAAAAAATTTTTTTTACAATTTTTATAGCTAAATTCTTTTTTTTTTATTTCATTTGAAACTCACATGTTGCAATATGCGCTTGTTTTCTTTAAAGATGTAGTCGCTCACTTTCTCAAGTAACACCAGCTAGTTACGCTCATAATATTGCCAACCTCGCTAGGTATTTTGTAGAATATAGACCTATTTCGACTGACCGAGGTCGTGGCCGAGGGCGAGGGAGAGGAAGAGGTCGAGGTGGTAATAATTCGGGTCCTACTCGGCCAGACAAAGTTCAAGATGGAAAATGGTATCGTGTAGAATCAAAACTTGAAAATAAACAATACTTTCTATAAGCCTATTTTTGTTTTTGTTTTGTAGAAACAGTTTTATTTTCCTAGTATGATATTTTAAAGTATTATTTACAGATTATTTACAATTTTATTTTATTACCTTATTTTAAAGTATTATATACAATTTTTGGTTTCATATTCTTCATCCTATTCTTTTTATTTTTACAAAATTATAAACCTATAGATTTATAATACTCTTTTTTTTAATTCTCAAACCAGGAAGGACTATTTTGTTAATATTGAATTACGTAGTAAGATTTTTTTTTCACTCGATGATTAAAGTATTAAATGTGCTTGCTAATAACAAACATTAAAATACTTTATTAAAAAGGTGTATTGATAGGTTGACTATTACTATATATATATAATATTTATAACTAATTATTAAATATTTAAAAAATATAAACTATATATGTAGTTATAGAAAGATGAAAATTGTATATATATTTGCACAACTGAAATTATTTAATAATAAATTGATAACTATAAGTAAAAGTCCATATAAAAAAATCACGGTATAGAAACAATTTAAATTTATATTCATCATACCGGTAATCCAATTATAACACATATAATAAACTTTTTATTTATTAACAACGTAACTCGGAGCAACTAAGAATGTATACACAACACTCTCACGTCCAACATATTTACGACTTAATCTAGTTTTTCTTTCTCCTGCACGCCTTCCAAATACAATTATATCAGATAAATCATCAACCAATAATCTATTTAAATTAAAGAAATTATGTCTCATCTTATGAATGTTCACATCCAATTGAGTAGTATCAATTAAATCCAAATCCATTAATTTGTTATTATAATATAAATCAGAAGTATGTAATCCTAATGATTTATCATTACCTAAATATTCACCAATTTTGAGAGGTAAATCACGAGAATTGGAATAAATAGTTATATGATTACAATAATTTATAAGCTTTGGATAATCTTTTTTAATAAATGAGTTGTATGATGCATCCGGATTAAGTAGTGTGAAAGTTGAAAGTTTCAATAATACATTTTTGGCCTTATTATTATTATTATTATTGTCATTATTTGAACTTGCAACAGTTTGAAAAGTTTGAAATAATCCATCAAAACTTTTTAAGTATTCAAGTGCAAGTGTACATCCCATTGAATGTGCCATAATATGTACATTACAAAAACCAGCATTACAAAGTTTTTGTAAAAATGTTCGAAAATCTATAAAAAAGAATTAAAAAGAATTAAAAAGGTTAATAATTAAAAGATTTAATGCAAAATGTTGCAATGTAAGGTAATAATGCAAGATATTTAAGATATTTGAATGAGTAAATTACCATTCACAGCATCTTCAGAACAACCCATTTTTTTTGAACCAAAGTACCATAATGAATTTGTACCAGGAGGAGAAAATACAAATGGTTTTATGTAATTAGGTAAATCGGCAAGAGCTAGAAATTGACCTAATGTTTCCATTGCAAATATTGATGGACAATTAAATCCGTGAATGAAAATAATGCATTCCTGACAGTTTACAAATTTCCATAAGCAAACCATATATTAAAAATAAAGTCAATAGATTTGATTCTACGTTATATGTTTACCTGAGAACTTCTAAGCATGCCATTTCTATTCATAGAACCTGATGAGATGCTACCTGATGGACGCCAATCGTCAATTTCAATAATGTAATCAGTTTTAGAAGAATCCAACTTATCCTTTATTGGCACTCTTCTAACAACTACCTCATTCTTGGATGTAGTTGAACTAGCAGGAAAATAACCAGTGATAGCTAAACCATTATCAGAAAGTCTTATTATAACAGAAGAATGTTCTTTCACAGCAAAATCAGGACCCATTGCAGAAGCAAATGTTTGTAAACATCCGAGACAATATTCAATTGGAGATATATAACTCTCATTATCATCTTGAGAAGGATCTTCAAACTTTGGTGGTATAATCATAGTTGCACGTGGGAGATACTTTAGATACTTTCCAGAAACAGAACATTCAACAGATGCTACACCAGAATCAATTCCACTTTGATATGGGTTAGGGAAAAGTCTCCATTCATCCCAAATTGTGTGCCGATTTTTCACTAGCCCTACACGAACAGAATGAAACGCGTCACCAGTGCCTGAACCTCTCGAGTGAAATGGTCCAATAGGAACACCATGTTCCCAAATGCCTACAATAAAAAAGAAATGATAAATGTTGATAAATGTTGATAAATATGATATATGCTGATAAATGTTGATAAATATGATATATGCTGATAAATGTTGATAAATGTGATAAATGCTGATTGATAAATATATAAATATATAAATATACATTTATATTTATATTTATTATTTATATATTTATAAATTTATTTATTTATTTAAAGTTTTGAAAAAAATAAACACACCTTTTAAACATTCACCATCGAATGAATCATCAACCCATTCACCAAGACCATGAGGAAAACCATCTTCATCCACCTCACCAACATACTTGATATTACCATGTCTAAACCAAAGACTATAACTTTCCCAACCGAAATAACGAAAACATCCTACAGTGGCGCCTTCAATACCCCTGTTATCTTCTTGTTTAATACACCACCACCAAATAGTATCGAGCCAATAAGCGTCTTTTACTATCCTTGGATAACCATAACGTATTAATATCCATATTATTAATGTCAATGCTTCAACTACTCCAAGAATAATCAAAACCAAACGAGTTTCATACGTTGAAGCAAAACCTGATTTTCTTTCATTTACAATCGATCCTTGATTTATAATCAAAAGAATTATGGTAGCGATTGCTAGCCTTAATAAATTTCAATATTATACATTAGTTAAGTTTAAACAAGTTGAGCCACATAATTTAATATACTAACCAGTAAAAACACCATCTAACGACTTCAGTTATCTAACGAAAATATTTAAACATAAATTAAATAAAAATTTTTGCCGTAGTAAAAAATATTTATGAAAAAAGGTACAAACCTTGTAATAAACGTACATCATAACCAGAAAGAGAGTAAGCAAAGTTCCAAATTCGGGCCATCGTTTCCATGCACTGATATTTTCTAAACAAAAGCAAAATTGGTTGATAATATGTGAAATATATATATATATATAGAAAATATAGGGAATTATCAAGAAAATTGAAAAAAATGTACCTAACTGTCCTCCAAGTCCGGCACCCATTAATGATAAGAATAACATCATAAACATTATAAACCAGAATATTCTTGTCAAAGATCTTCTACGATATCTTCCTCTAGCTTGCCTTTCGCATTTTCGATAAGCCATTATTCGAAAAGTTTTAGCAATTTCCTGCGGTGTTAAAACGCGTCGTTGGACATTTCCGGTGTTTTCGATAAATTCACTATCATTATTTTCAAATAATTCAATCCTTGAATGATATTTTGTTACATCAATGTCCATCGTTTTTTATTATAATATTTATAATATTTATAAAAAAAAAAAATAACAGCAAAAAAAAATAAAATGCCGAAGCAGGAAACCAATGATCCTTTTTAAAAACCAAAATATTTCCTGCAATGTTTATAATAGTCACAATTTAACAAAGTGGCTTTCATGTGATTGTGAATAATAATCATAAGCAATTAGCTATTTCATCGATATTGCGTCATAAATAAAAATATACTTAACCTAATTCATCATAAGTATTCTTAACGTTAAGTGTTTATCATCCGTGGAGATTTTTTATTTCATAATTTATACATATAAGCCTTACACGTTTTTCTATTTCATAACATTTTTTTATACGTACGTACTCATTTTTGATACCATTTAATAATTATTTCCAAAATAAGGATTGCCATCGCAAATTAATTTTTTTCTGATGTAAATTTTCGTAATGTTGGGTGAGTATTAGGTTAAATTTTTTCATCGGTCTCTATAAGAAAAAGCATTATTTTACTACACTGATGTGTAACTTTGAATCTTTAAATTCTTTTATTGAAATAAATGTTATCATCAATCAAAGGCTTAAATCAATCAACGTGGTACCCTATTGTTGAAGCCACGATGTAAATTTATAAATAAACCGCAGATAAGATAATAAGATAAAAATATTACTTTTTTTGAATTTCTTAGTAAGTAGCAGTGGGATAGCAAGTCAAGCTTAGCGTTATAAAGCTAACAAAATTTTGAAAAGATAAATTTAGATAAATTTTTTAATATTGTATAAATTAACTTACAATTTCCTTTATTGGTACTTATGTATTTAGGTTATTAAGATGATTTTCAGCTTAACTGTTTATCGTCATAATATAAATTTTTTTTTGGTTAGTGGTACCAAGAAATAACAAGTTTTTTGAAAATCTGGAAATTTTAATAAAAATCGACCTTTTTTTCTTTGGTTACAAAGGAATGAAAACAAATGACATTATTGGCGCAAACACAATTCATGTAGATCACATAGTAAGGGTGTGACGCAGGGACGTGGAAAAATTTGGAAACAAATTTTTCCAAAATTTTCCAAATTTTGGCCTCCGATTTCAAAATTTACAAA